TGTGAAGCAACAATGTTGATATTACTGCAGTTCAAGGTTGATTACAAGAGATTTAACCTACTTGAACCGAGTTTCGAAAATAGTTATGCAGTATATTTTGAGATAGAGATAAGAATTTATGATATTGCAATGGATCACACAGCTGACTCACACATGATTAAACAAATCAAGTTTTTCTATCTTGTTTTGAAGATTCATACATCCTAGAGCCAGATGTTTAACCAAGGTTCATAGGAACATGCTAACTAAACACGATTAAAATTAAAAAAGGTATGAAAATGGAAAGAAAAACATACCACACTGGCATCTTTTGCTAGTCTAGAGCAAATGGTGCCACTGGAATTCTCATCTTGGTCAAACCACCCAACTTCAAAAGTCAGTATCCTTGAAAGCATCCTCTCTCTAATCCTCTTTGTCAAGTTCTCTCCCATGTAAGCAAAATTATAATGCTGGATAACATTAATTATCAAGGAAAACAAAGAAAAACCAAGGAAACAGAAAGCATAAACCTTTGCCTTTCGTTTAATTTCACCATGATCAGTAAGAAAAAATATTGATATCGTTGACCCCATTGTGACAGATGAAACTGGTTGCAGTGCACCAAATAACATTCCACCAAAGCTTCCCAGGGTTGCTTGTTTCCACTCTGGTAAATTCAAGGCCAACAATCTCCTAAAAGATGGTGCAGCAGGCAACTTTCGATCCTCAATATTAAATTCTCCAGCTTGTGAAGCATCATTTCGTGCTATGGAATTGGCTGAACTTGTCCGGCTAGCTAAAGACAGTCTACGACTGCTAGCATTGTTAATGTCCATGTTTGTTATATAAGATGAGGCACTGGTAGACAAATCTTGATTGCCTTTTTCCTGGACTTGTTCTGATTGTTGAAGTTGCACTAGCATGGGATAAAAGCCCTTTTCATTTACCATTAATTCGTCATGTGACCCGGTTTCCATGACCTGGCCATCTTGGACAGCAGCAATTATATCTGCATGTCTAATGGTGGAAAGGCGGTGGGCAATGATTATTGTTGTACGCCCAATGGAGGCCTTGTCAAGAGCTTCTTGCACACTATGCTCGGATTCAGAGTCTAATGCACTTGTTGCCTCATCAAGGAGGAGGATTTTGGGTGCTTTTATCATGGCTCATGCTATGGCTATTCTCTTTTTCTGTCCACCAGACATTTGAACCCCTCTCTCACCAACCTATTCAACAAAACCAGTCTTTAAATTATGTGATATATCCTTAGTATAAAGACAGATATTCAATGGACACTAAAAAATTGCTAATGCTGGAGGCCTATTTTGTTCAGGATTCTTGTAGGACTCCAGATGGTTATTTTCTCCTTTTGGATGTTATGCTTGCATAATAAAGTGACTTGGAAAAGTATACATATAATAGATACGATGGTAAGCAGACAAACCTGGGTGTCATATCCTTGAGGCAACTGAGATATGAAATTATGGGCATTTGAGGCTTTAGCCGCTTCAATAACCTCTTCCATTCCAGCATCCTCCTTGCCAAAAAGTATGTTCTCTTTAATGGTTGTTGCAAACAGTGTAGACTCCTGACTTACCAACCCCATCTGTGACCTTAACCACTTGAGTTGCAATTTATTAATAGAAACCCCATCTAGAAGTATGTCTCCTCCAAGTGGGTCATAAAACCTTTGCAACAATGAAATCACTGTGGATTTTCCTGATCCACTGCTTCCCACCAAGGCCATAGTCTTTCCTGCAGAAATTTTGAGAAAAAAACTCTGGAAAATTATGGTCTCTGACCTTGAGGGGTATGCGAATTCAACCTGTTTGAATTCAACTTCTCCTAAATCATTATGCAAAATTTCCCCTTCCATGTTTCTAGATCAATCTTTGGGACTCTCTTTAGCACTTCATTTATACGTTCTGCAGCTGAAAACGCTTCGGATAAGGGCTTCAGGTTAGATAAACAAGAACCAAGTTGTCTGTTCAATAAGAAAGAAAAGGAAAAGTAATATTAAAAATATGAACTTTAAGGAATTCAATAAGAGAACTTTAAGGTTAAAACTCTTACTGTCCACCAACAGCAATGCAGGTGCCCACCATGAAAACAGTTCCACCTAGAGCTCCGTGGTACATGACCATTCTACTACCATAGTAAGTAATGAAAGCCCAAATAGCATAAGAAATACCATTGCTTCCAATGGCCAAGCCTTTAGCCAAGCCTTGGCTCAACCCCAACTTCACAGATCCTTGTAAAGCTGCAGAGAACTCAGTAATCCTTTTGTTTTCTCCAACAAAGGCATAAACAGTTCTAATAGAAGATATTGCCTGCTCTGCTATTGAATTGGCCTTATTGTACTCCACTCTAATCTTCGTTGCAAGACTCAGTAAAATTTTGCCCTCTATTAAACTAGGAATCACCAGCAGCAGAACAAAAGGAAAAACCACAAGAGTTAATCTCCATAGTATCAGAAAAGCTGCTATGTATGTTCCAATAAATATAAAACACCTCTTGCTATAAGGTTTGGAACCTGACATACATAATAAACAAGTCGATCGACATAATAGTAATGGAAAAGTTGAAGATACTAGTTCAATTAACTGGAAAAGGGTTGAAAATGATTTAAGCATATATAATCACTATCTAGAAATGACAAGATAAACATTTAGAAGCGCTGACAACCTTCTCACTGATAACTTCTTGAATTATGAGACTGTCATTGGAAACACTTGTGACTATTTCAGCTGTGCTAGTTACATTCATATCAAAGTAGCCTACATCTTGCCGTAGCTCAGGTTTCAAATACCTAGTTCTCATTCTTGTGGCTTGTATTACACCTGTTCTTGTCCAACAAAATCCTTCTGAAAAGTTCAAAATTTAGAGAGGAAAAAGGAATTAGTATGGCTAGTTCCCTTTACTTGAAGTCACCTAACTAGCAAAAGAAACTGTAAAACTTTTATTACTACATTTTAATCCAGATAGGAAGACAATAACAGCAGGTTCACTTCAAACTCACCTAGGAAAGATCCAACCCATCCCCCACAGGCCGTCAAAATTAAAGACAATGCAACCTGTCACCCACAAAAACAAAACCAAAGGATCTTACCCAGTTAAATACAATCTTAAATGTTATATGGAAATGTTGAAGCACATCAGCAGTAATATCATTCCTGGCGAACTTTGTGGGTGAGCACATCAGCAGTTGAAGCTTCACCAATGTTGTTAAACATATGGCCAATCAAATATATGACCAATGGTGAAACAGTGCCATCAGCAACTGCTCCAATGAAGCCAACAGCCATCAATCACGTATCTACACCATCTGCATGCATGAAAATGGAGCGTATAGACCCATTTTTCTTCTTCACAGGGCCGCTTCCAACCTCTTTATTACTCATTTTCTTCTTACCTTCCATTGTGTTTCCTTTTTCCTCTTCTTCCATTAGCTATCAGTCCATCAATATTAAATAGCAGCGGCAACCGGATTCTCAGCCTGACACAATGATAAATTGACCACCAGGAAAGGAACGAAAATAAAGGACAACTCATACACCCTGGATTGGGTTTGATGTTGCGAAAGAAAAAAAAAACCGTAAGGCAGGTGCTAAGCAAAGATGATTGTAGCTGTCGCAACTCAAAAGATTTATAATAACAAAACCGATATTGTTATTTTTAGTTATATGACAGTGACTGGCTTATTTTAGTTAAGTAAACTTTTCCATTGAATCAGTCAATCAGATTTGAATCTAATAAAAAATTGTTGCTTTAACCATCTGCTTCAGTTTTATATTATATATTCTTCTCCAGAATAGCAAAAATCTGATATTTGGCATTTAATTATGATAGAAATGTGTTCAGTTGTTCTATTTTAATAAGAGTATGATCATAGTTGAAGCTAACTGGTTTCCAGTTTTCTTCCTTCTAGAAAAAAGAAATAAATTAATATTAACAGAAGCATAATGTATGGTGCACGTTAAATGCTCTAGAAAGAATAATGTCATGCATGACTTATAGCTGGCAATTAAATTTTAAAAAAAATTCTCAAAAGCTCATTGTGGTAATATACGAAAAGGCATCCATTATATCAGATTGTCTGCTGAAATGAACAAATGAATAGGAAAACCCAAAAGGAGGGATGTTAGTTTTGCAACAAAGCTAGGCCTTTCACTATCATCAACTTGGCAACAGGAAAAAAAATTAAAACCTTATTCTGACCATAATAATTTTCATTAGTAGATTGTGTGTTGGGGCTCCTTCGGAGGCTGACCAATGAGAAGCAAGTTCCTGCGGGTCCCTTTGCCAACAAGTATTGGTGAGTTTCTTTCTCTATCTCCTTCCCTTTATTCAACACAGCAATTTGATCAGTCTTGTATGGTACTTATCCTATGTGCCACAAAGACACTAGTCTTCCCCACCATTACATGCTGTAATGCCTTTTGCACCATTTTCTCTGATAGACTGTCAAGTGCACTGGTAATTATCCACAGAAAATGATTTCATATTGTCATCACCATCAATGGGTAAAATATATTTTTGTACCCAACAAAGCACCTGATTCATTTTACATATAATATTATTTAACAATTGAAGAAGCTTTTTCCAAAAATATATATATACAAAAAAAGAAGAAGCTAATTACTTTCCTAATCATGCCTTAAGAGTAAATTGAATACTAAATCAATAGCTAGAGATATTAAAAAACCCAGCTATATCTAATGTTTAAGTTCACACATACTACATGAAGTCGATTCCTTCACCCTTTCTTTGGAATAAATAAGGCTGCAGCTTAGGGATAGAGGAATGAGGCATAGATATTGAGATGTGAACCGCAAACATATTAGATGATATTTTTTAAGGTAACTGTATAAACTAATTAAGTTAAGTTTTAGTGCAATTCCTTCACCCTTTCACCTTCTCTATTGAAAGTGTACAATAAAAGAGAGGAAAGGAAAAAGAGGAAAACACATGGTATTGTAGGCTTAAGGATCATAAAAAAAGTATATGATTAATGTCACCACTTGTTGGCAAAGCATGCTAAGATCATACTTTTTTTGTAGTTTAATTTTGTTTTATGCATTTACATATATAAAGGTAAGTATTTATTATCACATTTGAACTCATATTACAAGGATTGGATTGCCATCTTCATTTCAGCATCTCTACTGAAGGCGTGGACGAAAGGGAGGGAAGAAAAGGAATAGTTGGAAGAAAGGATTGTAAATGAGCTAGGCCTTGCACATCAAAATTTTGATGGCAACTGTAAAAAAGCCTAATCAAACCTTAAAGTAGTTTTTAGTTGATTGTGTGAGTTGTGTTGTTGTGGGGGCTCCTTTGGAGGCTGACCAATGAGAAGTAAGCTCCTGTGGGTCCTTTGGCCAACAAAGATTGATGGGTACCTTTCTCCACCACCTTGCCTTTATCTAACACAGCAATTTGGTCACAGTTTTGTATGGTGCTTAACCTATGTGCCACAACCACACTGGTTCTCCCCACCATCACTCTTTCAAGTGCATCTTGCACAGCTTTCTCTGATTGGCTGTCTAGTGCACTGGTGGCCTCGTCTAAAAGCAAAATTGCTGGATTTTTCAGTATGGCCCTGGCTATTGCAATGCGCTGCTTTTGGCCCCCAGATAGCTGCACTCCCCTCTCTCCACACCATGTATCATACCCATCTTGTAATCCTGAAATGAAATCATGAGCATTGGCTGCTCTGGCAGCCTCAATGATCTCTGATTCAACAGTCTTATCGGATGCTCCATATGCAATGTTTTCTCTGATGGTGCCAGCAAATAATGTGGGCTCTTGGCTAACAAGTGCAATGTGTTTCCTTAGTGACCTAAGGTGGTATGACCTTATATCTCTACCATCAATTTTCACTACACCCTCAAGAGGATCATAAAATCTCTCAGTTAGACCAATGATGGTTGATTTACCAGACCCACTTTGTCCAACCAAAGAAGTTGATTTACCTGCTTCAATTTTGAGTGAGAAGCCTCTAAAGATCATAAAATTGGGCCGGGCTGGGTATGCAAAGTCTATGTTCCGAAGTTCTATGTGGCCCGTTATCTTTTCGGGCTTGTATCCTTCAGGATCTTCGGGCTCAATACTCGTGTATCGGTCTAATACAGCAAAGACTGATCCAACTGCATCCGAGCCCTTGGCGAGGTCGGAAGTCATGCTTCCGGCATCGGCTATTACACGGCCGGTGCTTACCAAGATCATGAAGGTCTCAAATAATGCCTTTGCAGTGATGTAGCCTCGAGACACGAGTTTACCACCATACCAAAAGTCTAAGGCCCAAGTGCAAGTTGTTAGGCTTTGAGATGTGGCAAGCCCAAAACCAGCATACCATGATTGGCGGATGCTCTCTTGTCGTGGGCCTTCTTGGGCTTTTTCGAGCATTTTCAGGATTCTATCTTGGGATGAGAAGCAGTGATGGTTCGGAGGTTGGAAACAGCCTCTGCAGCCAGCTTGCTGCTTTCGTCTTGGGCTTTGATAGCCTTCTGAGACATGCTTTTTAGCAAGACACGTCTGGTGTAGAAACAAACAATGATGATGGGTTGGACTGCTATCATGACAAGCGCAAGCCTCCAAGCAATGACCAGACCCATGGTGCAAGCTATAGTTACTGCTGAAATGGTTTGCACAATTAATGCCATCCTGTCACCTACCAATGATCTCACCTGTCAGAACAAAGAGAACAATAAGACACAATGACTTCATGAAAACAACAACCACAATCTGGTTCAGGTTAGATTATTGGCTTCTGCCTTCCTGTCTCCTAAACGCATAGAGGATAATCAGAAATTATTGATCCTTGATCCTCCAAATCCTCCAAAACCACGGCACAAGTTGGAAAACTCAACTTAATCAGAGCTTAGCAGATAGACAGATACAATTAATTTATATGACAGAGCAATAGAATACTTGGATATTAAAAAATGCATAAACTTTCCATCCCTTTTTCAGTTGTCAACTGGGATGGCATACTATTGCTGATTATTCCAAGACTTGAAAATTCATTGGATGAGCAAGATTATTTTGTAACAGATTAGAATAAGAAAAAGCATACCACATTGGCATCCTTGGCAAGTCTAGAGCAGATAGCACCACTTGAATTCTCATCTTGATCAAACCAGCCTACTTCAAGTGTCAGTATCTTTGAAAGCATCCTCTCTCTAATCCTCTTTGTCAAGTACTCTCCCATGTATGCAAAGTTATAATGCTGACCAACATTTATCAGCAAGGAAAACACTGACAACCCAAGAAAGCATAAGGCATAGATCTTAGTCTTCTCCTTAATCTCATCATGATCAGTCAAAAAGTACACTGATACCATAGATCCTAGTGAGAATGCGTAAACAGGTTGAACAGCACCAAATAGGATTGCACTTAAACACCCCAATATTGCCTGTTTCCATTCTGGTAAGTTCAATGCCAACAGTCTTCTAAAAGATGGCACCGGCAACTTTTGATCTTCCACTGCAGATTCTATAGCCAGTGAAGTACGGTTTTGAGTAAATGAATTGGCGGAACTAGACCGACTAACAAATGAAAGTCTACGACTACTTGTGCCATTAATGTCCATATTTGATATTGAAGATGAAACATACGTAGATAAATTTAAGTTAGCTTCTTCAGGGTTCTTTTCTTTCTCTGTTTGCTGAAGGCGGACTAATGAAGTATAATGACCATTTTCATTTTCCATCAACTCATCATGTGATCCTGTTTCCATAACCTGGCCATTTTGGACAACTGCAATAAGGTCTGCATTGCGAATGGTGGATAGACGATGGGCGATTATTATGGTGGTGCGGCCAATGGCAGCTTGGTCGATCGCTTCTTGCACAACTCGTTCAGATTCTGAGTCTAGTGCACTTGTTGCCTCATCAAGGAGAAGGATTTGGGGTGCTTTTATTATAGCTCTTGCTATAGCAATTCTTTGCTTTTGTCCACCTGACATTTGAACCCCTCTTTCACCAACCTGTTGAAGAAATTTTTACTCCTTAGCATGTTCAGAGTAATTCAAAACAGTAGTTAAACTTTTGATTATTAGCTAGGCAACTCATTCACAAGACAAAAATCGCTTTATTTCTAATTTAATGAATATAATTCTCTACATCATTCTTTCCTACTATGCTACAACAAAACAAGTGATATGAGCTTGTAAAGGAAGATCCAGAAATCTTTATTATCTTCTGCAAGAATGGTATGAACAGATGCAAAGAATTCATTGCCAAATTATTTGCAAGACAAAAGTAACATGGGGTGCTCATTTTAAGGAGTGGCCAGTGGGGAAGAAATTGCAGCTTTCAGAGAAGGGATAGGTTCAATGGGGGGCCAGATTACTATTTGGGAAACAAGATAAAGGAATAAAATACAAATATAAAAGAATAGTAAAACACTGGCCGGCATGACATTGTGACTTGAATAGACTCATCCCTATCATTATTCTCCAAGAATCTACAAGGCTATCATATATGATTCTCATAATGAAAACCTAAATTTGCGGTGCAGAATTTGGTTCAGTTTAGGGTGAAAGGTGATCAGAGTTTCCTAAGAAGTGTATGTTAATAGTTTGAAATTTCAATGTTCTAAGAAGTGTTTTTTTTGGTAAATTTGAGAATGAATGCTGAAATATTATATTACTTTTGCTTTTGTGGATGTTAAAAGGTATGTTGACTAACCTGAGTATCATAACCATGAGGCAATTGGCATATGAACTTGTGGGCATTTGAGGTTTTGGCAGCTTCAATGACATCTTGCATGCTAGCATCTTCCTTCCCAAAAAGTATGTTTTCCATTATGGTAGTAGCAAAAAGTGCTGGCTCCTGACTCACCAAACCCATCTGTGACCTTAGCCACTTGAGCTGCAACTTATCGATTGCAATCCCATCAAGGAGTATCTCTCCCCCTAGTGGGTCATAAAACCTTTTCAGTAGTGCTATGACTGTGGATTTCCCCGAGCCACTACCACCCACTAATGCCAGAGTCTTTCCGGCAGGAATGTTGAGGCAAAAATCTTTGAAAATCATGCTTTCTGGCCTTGTTGGATATGCAAATTCAATATGTCTAAATTCGACTGCTCCTGAAACGTTGTCCAAAATTTCACCCTCCAAATTGTCTGAATCAATCTTGGGGACTCTTTTTATCACTTCCATTATGCGTTCTCCAGCTGAACATGCTTCAGAGAAAAACTTCAGGTTGGACAAACTAGCCCCCAATGACCTGATGATCAGCAAAAACCAATAAAAATTACATGTTTAAATTTGTTTTCTATAAATAAATAAAAAAAAAAACCTCAATGTAGAAAATTTCGAAGATATTTACAGGCCTCCCATCGCAATGGCAGCGCCAACAATGAAAACAGTCCCTCCTTGAGCACCATGGTACATAACCATCCTGCTGCCATAATAAGACATGAAAGCCCAAGTGGCAAAAACCACCCCATTGCTTCCAATTGCCAGTCCTTTAGCCAAACCCTGCCTTAACCCCAACTTCACAGAACCTTGTACAGCTGCAGAGAATTCAGCAATGGTTTTGCTTTCACCAACAAAGGAATAAACTGTTCTTATTGAAGATATTGCCTGTTCTGCTATTGTACCAGCCTTATTATATTCCTCCCTTATCTTTCTAGCTATTCCAATCAAACCTCTTCCATACATTAAACCAGGAATGACCAAAAGAACAGCAAAAGGAAAACCCACTATTGCTAGTCTCCATAGCATTATGAATGCTGCCATGTAGCACCCAATAAATGTTGCAACATTCATCAGAAAATTTGGCACCTGCATTAAATTTTAATATCCCATCAGCATTTTTTTTCTAAAGTATTTGTTTTAATCAAGAAATTACATCAAATTTGCATAAAAAAAAAAAAAAAAAGAAAACCTTTTCACTGAGAACATCTTGGATTACTAGACTATCATTTGAAACACTTGTGATAACTTCAGCTGTGCTTGTAACATGCAAATCAAAGTATCCCACATCTTGTCTTAAAACTGCCTTCAAATATCTGGCTCTCATTCTTGTTGCTTGTCTCTCACCTGTTCTTGACCAACAAAATCCCTCTGAAAAATGGCAAAGAAAAGTATAAATAAAATCATTAATATCCTCCATTTAAGCTCCAAATAATTAGTCCTTGGAAAAACAAAACATTGAATATTAAAACCTACCTAGAAAACAAGCAAGCCATGATCCACAAGCCAAATACAACAAAGCCACCGAATTCTGCGAACCATAAAACAAATCCTGTTAGCTTCTGCTTGTATCGAACGTGCCTGTCAGACTCCTTTGTACGTGTGTATGTGCGTGCCGGTGCTAATAAAACCAAAATTAGAAAGCAAGAGAAAAACAAAGAGAGAGAGAGAGACAGAGAGAGAGAAACCTTGTTGATATTATGAATGAACTTGTCTGCAGTGAAAGCTGATGCATCACCAAGATTGTTCATCAACTTGCTAGTAACAAGCAAAACAAGAGGTGTACTAAAACCATCACCAACGGCTCCGATGAAGCCGAGAGTCATCAACCACATATCTACACCGTCCGCATGCATGAAAATGGACCTTATGGACCACCCATTTACCTTCTGGGCTGCACCAGCTGGTTTCTGCTTCTCATGACCCATATCTTAATTTGAGAAACAAAACAACACCCAAGATTCTCAAACCACTTAGGATTGATGATTTGGTTTGTTTCTAACAGTTTCTTTCTTTTCTTTGTTTGCCTCCAAAATAATCTTGTCTGATCTTAAGACAAATGAGATGAGAAACAAGTGCCAGGGTGATGTTTTTGGCTATGCAACAAACATAGGAACTGTCTTGTATATATAGGTGTTATTTGTGGGGGTAAAATTGCTGGTGAAAACCACAGGAAAATTAATTTTAAGTTTATTTTTGAAAAATAAAAAATAAGAAGGTTGGTGAAATATTAAGAATGCCTCGTTTTTCATACAAGCAGATGGTTACATGATATTAAAATAAGTTAGAGTTAAAATCTTTTTGTATAATTTTTTTTTAGATTACGATCTTTTTTATAAAATTAAAATTTAATTAGTCAAACATTTCATTTTCAAAAGGATATTGTAAAGGACATATATGATTGATATAATTTTTAATTAGTGCATGCTTTGAATAGTACTTGCTAATGTATTAATTTTATGAATATATATATATATATATTGGTAAATATATATAAAAGCAAAATAAATGGCTCAGAAGCACAAATTTAGACCTAACAATTCTAAGAAAATGTCCTCACATCAATTAAATCAATGGAAGGAGAGGCTCATCAAACTTACATAAAAAAAAATTTGCATTCAATCAATTTGATATCGATAAAAATGTAAAACTGACTTAAAATTTTGCATGTATGATAAATATTAAAATGTTAAATTTAATTATTGCTTTTTTAAAATATTATTCCAATAAAGAATTATAAATTAATCAATGTAAATTTTGGTAATTTTTACACGATTGACATGAAATTTTATATGTACGATAAATATTAAAATATTATTTAATTTAACAATTGTTTTAAAATATTATTTAAAAAAATTAAAAACCAATGTAAATTTTGTTGATTTTTAACATTATATAACTTGATTTCATATTATATTAGAGGGTTAATGTTATTAATAATTCTTAAATTATAGTGAAATAATGTTTAATATTATTCTTAAATTTTAATAAATTTTAATATGATATCTAAATTATGAATTTATTAAGTAATGCAATACTTTCCTTTAAAGTGATTAATTTTAAATGATGAACACGACGAACAAACAACTCTTCAAGTATTATATTAATTAATAGATTTATAATTTAAATATTATATCAAATATTTTTAAAATTTAAATATCATATTAAATATTTTAAGGTTAGTCATGACATTAACCTTATATTATATTATATATATAACTTTTCAAAAATCATTGTGCTTGTGAAATCATTAAATCAAGTTAACTAGATTAGTCAATCAGGTATTAACTTAAATGACATGCATATTAATCAAATTTATGAAAATTGTACATTTTAAAAAAATTTAAATATATTAAATAAATAAAGATCGAGAGATTAAATGTATATTAAAATTTTTTTAAAAAAAAAAGATTAATTTTATGTTTCAAAACTAAAATATAAACCAAGGATTTCATATTAGAAAGGGAATTAAATGATTGCTGAAATTATAAGTGAAATGTAAAAATCAAACGATAAAATAAAAAAGAAAATTAAAATTAAAATTGGATGAAAATGAGCTAACAAGGGCAGAAGAAGAAGATATCATGGTTGACTTTAACTGTTTCATCTGATAGGCGTCGTTAATGACGATAAGTGCATGGGATCCACAAAAACAACTATTTCTTCTGTTACCACCTATGTCGCAATAATAGAATCCGGGTTTTTAAATATTATTTAATTTTTTAAATATTTAATACATTATTTTTTATTCATAAAAAATCATAATCTAAAAAATATATATAATATTTAGTATTTATCTTATAGAATAATAGTAAAATTTGTTATTATCTCTTATAGAAATAAGTATTTTTTAAATATAAAAGGTCAAAATCTAAAAAAAATAAAAAAATTTACAAATATTGCGAATTGAACTCTAATTTTATTAAAACCAGCTATTAAAAAAATGAAAGAATCATTTGGATTAAGCTTTAAGTTCAAAAATAACTTGTTACTTGTATAAGCCAACTTTCAATTAACTCATTCATTTTATTTCTTGTTACTATTGAAATTAAATTAGGCATTTTTCAAAAAAAAATAATAATCCATATCTAAGAGGGTTTTTTTTTTTTTTTTTAAGTAGTCTTGAGAGATTGAACATATCTACACTTGTTATGAATTCTTTAGAAAGTTTGTTTTTATACTTTACATGTGAAATTTTTTAACTTTACATACGGATTAAAAAATTGACACCTACTTATTTTATAATTAGTTTTTATTTATTTTTTCACTATATTTTTAAAAAAATATGTGTTATTATGTTAATTATAATGAAATTTAAAAACTTCACTCATAGTGATTAAAATATATATATATATATATATATATATATATTCCACTTTTAAATAGTTTTAAAGTCATACTCAAATAAACAGTTATAGTAAAAATACTTTTGCAAAGCCTTGAAAATGGTGATTGCCTAAGCTTGGTGTAATTAATCTTTCTTCCAAGTAGCTAGCTGCCATCAATGCTTTGGCAAAACCATGTGCCTCTTCTTCCCTTTTTCCTCTTGAAAATTGACATGAGCTTCCTCCCCCATGTTCATAGATCATAATAAATCTTCATTACCACTATCCCCCCCCCCCCCAAAAAAAAAAATCTGTTGTTTTCAGATTTCTTTTCCTTTTTCATCATTTTGTTTTGTCGATTATGTCTTTATCAGGCACTAACTGTAAGAAATTGTGGGTGGATGATGTCCTCTCTTACCTCAGATAACTCGAAAACTTGCCCTACTTTGCAAACAATCACGTGTTCCTCAAAATTTAATTAACCCCACTTGTTTGCTTCTTTTGATTTCATTTATTGAGGAATTTAATATTGAGGGAGTATATATATATATATATATATATATATATATAATACTATAAGAAAATAAGCATTGAAAATGGTAGTATCAAATTTAAAATATATTGATTTAAGATTTTTTTAATATCCACTTATAATATAAATAAAAAATTTATCGATAAATTTATTAATTTTATTGAGTCCAATGATGTCTAAAAAAAATTTGAGGGTGTTTAAAAAAACTTTTTCTTCAATTTTTTTATTTTTTTAATATTTAAAATGTCTATAAACACTATTCCACTGTTTGAATCCAGTGGAAAATTGTACACAATGCTGAAAGTACCACTAGAAGTACGTACAGGATGTGTGCACTGATTTACCAAAGGAATGGATAATAATTAATTATGAGTTGACCCTATCGTTGTAATCAATGTTCAACTTAGTTAAATATTGGATTGGATTTTAATATGGTATTTTTTAATAATATAAAAAAATTGACATGTCTATATGATCTAGTACTTTCGTTAACATTTTTTTTTATAAAATTCCGAAATTGCAATATTGAAATCTTTGTATTTTTTATATAAAGATAGCTTAAAAGAATTATAAATATTAAAATTTAAATTATAAAAATATTAAATATCATCTCTTAAGAATAATTAAATGAATTAATAAAGTTGGACCTTAAATTTAAAATTTTTATATTTGATTATGAATATAGTGAATATAAGAAAGGTTGCAAAATGATACTTTAACATGGGAACTAGGGTTTTCAATTTTCTTCCTAATCCAATAAGCTATATATATACATAAATATTTTATTAGCTTTGTTATCGTATGCAAGTACGTAATTCTCCTCCTTAAAATTATACTAAAAAAAAAAAGAATAATCTCTGAAAAATTTATGCAAACTTCAACACTTGAGTAAAGGAGGATATATATAAATATATATATATATTATTATTTATATTACGTACTTGCATACGATCACAAAGCTAATAAAATATTAATGTTACATATATATGATCTTATTGGACGCAACCCAAATTATGCAGAAATCAACCGTCAATTTCTTTTAATTTTTTTGTTAGCATAGTTTCAAATTACGTTTCCCACAAGAAAAAAAATGTTATTCTCATCGATATCATGCATGCATGATGATGAACCCTAATCGATTTGTTTTGGAACCCTTTTTTTTTTTTTAATTAAAGAGGGATTATATATCTTAAGTAACAGCATTCCACAAATATCAACACTGCTTGAATTAACTATATCAAAAATTTAGCCTAATCATGCATGTGAAATTAATTTGATAATTTCACTTCAATTCAACTCTTTTGTTATCGAGATAAAATCTTATAGACCTTTTTTTTTTCTTTTTGGTTTAATTGTGAATAAATCTTAAAGAAACAACTTAAGATTGTTACATTCTCTCAAATAATTAAGAGATACAAATTCAGGATTTAATTTAATTGATTTATAAATTATTTTAAAAAAATAACATTCAATAAATAAAAAATTTAAATATCAACAATTGCAATCCCTTCATCAATCTCTAAATCACGATCTTTTATGTAAAAAAAAATACAATTAAAAATTTTGACAGTATATTGTACAAATAAAAAAAATGGATAAATAATTAGGGACATATTTTGATTATTAAATACATAAAAAATTTGTTTAATTAAATAATATTCTTTTAAGTTAAAAATTAAGAATAATTTGAATGGTTACAAAGTCTACTCATACAACATGCTTGTCTCATTGAACATTAATCTGATATTGGAAAGATTGCCAAAATGTCCTTTATCTTATTTATCATCCAAATTAATTATGATATATATACCATATTTGGTAGGGAATAGTATAATTTTGGGGTCTTAACTATTAAGTACTCTACTAATGTAGTAAACACTGTCTCTTAATTTGATAACAATATAAAACGAATCACTAAACAATTACCTAACGAAATATTTCATGTACAATTAAAAATCATAAATATAAGAAATTGGGTCAGAGTTTAATTTAATTGATTCATGCAGACACCTTAAGAAATAATATCTAATAGATTTAAGATTTAAATCTTATCTCTAAATTGCAACTTCCTTTGTAAAAAATTGTAACTATAAGCCTCAAACATTTTGATTAGGAATCTACACGATAGTACTCCCTAGCATTGAATTTAATTTATTTAATATTAATATTGAAATTTTTTATAAAATTAAAGTTTGATGATTTTTAATATTAAAAAGTAAAAAAATCATAA